TTTTCAGTACAAATCGGCAATTTCATACTTTAACCCCTATTATTATATACCCTCAATATTACACAAGCAAATCAATATTAAAAACCAAGCAATACCTTTCCGTTTTAACTTACTATTCGATGCTTTATAACCTGAAGTCGTATTAAAATACTATATAAATAAGTAGGTAGAATAAGTAGGATAACCTTTAGTAAAATTAAAAATCTACAAGTTTATAGTAGCTTATTAAGCTGATCGTAGGGAGAGTAACCCTATTGTTCGCGGTTAAACGAACAAGGGTTTATAGCATTTTATAGAGGCATTGCGGGCGTAGTCATAAAAGAGGAACTTTTAATAAGGCTGTTTAGACATCACCTCGGTTATAGAACTAGTACTTATATGGAGCCAAATACTAAATAATATTATAAACATTAACCAAGTGCAGGCCGTAATAATAAGAAATGACATTGACCTTTTCAATCGCGTTGCAATTAATTTTATAAATTGTATATAACGGCCAATAACTTGTTCAATTAGCTTATAGTATATCTATTCGATTGTAATTTAATAAACGTATTTGAGATTTCATTAATTGCTATGAGGTTGCTGGGGAAAATGTAGGCGTATAGAACTTTGACTTTACAGGCTATAATTCATTACAAGAGATATCAAAAACCTTTGATGATATCAAAAGTACGTTACCTAATAAGAAAAATTACATCAACTTGTTATTAATAATAAAACTAATAATATCAAAAATTTTAACGTTAAAGTTCTGTAAGAGGTAACAATACATTTACACATGACAAAACTGCTACAAATAAAGTAATAAAACTATCTTTTAATTGAATAAAAACAAAGTTATGTTTATTTTTAAGCAAGTACAAAGTTTTGTTTTATAATAAAGCAGTTGTTTGAAACTAAAGTCTCTTTACGAATGTCATATTAAATGTATGTGGGCGTTTAACTTTAAAAATTTGGATATTTCTAGAATTATTATTAGAATTATTATAAAAAATTATTGACGTCTATTTACTCATTAGGTAGTGTACTTCGATATCAGTTTAAAGGTTTAATAGAGGAATAATCGCCTGGACACACTTAACGATTATACCCCGTACGTTTCAGGATGACAGGGTGCAGTAGAAGTGCCTCTCATATATTAGCAATTTAAAGTTCTGAGTGGCACTGCAACTGTTATGGGTAGGCGTGTCGCTTAGAGCAAGCGCAAGACAATTTCACCCTATAAAAAATTGCTAAGGATGCAGAAGTGCTTCTACAAATTTTCTTACTTAATATTAGGGCAAACCTCAACGGCAGACGTACGGAATCTTCAAGCTAAAAGGAGGTTATTTTAAGTAAAATCGACTTTTTTAAATAATTATCTAAATAACTAAAGCATAACCTCTATAATTATAAGAAGGGCCTTAGAGTAGGATAACGTTATGCTGTCGTATGTTGTCGTAATGGCAGTATCAACACCCACAGCCCAACTTTACCCACTGTTGAAAAGTAAATTTTGAAAAAGTTAGAAAATGTCATGTTGGAATTATGAGATAGTCTGATAGTTATATGCATTTACGAGGAATAAAACTGTAGTGAAATAAAAAACTTTATCCTAAAGGTTAATGGTAAATGTATTCAAATGTATATTTATAAAGAGTAACAGTAAAGTAAGTGAAAGAAAAAAATTAGGTCAGCAGAATCCTACTTCTACTTTTCTTTCCATACAATGAAATGGTCCTTATATAAAACTAAGTCGATCAGCTCTAAAAAAACTGACCAAGAAATTGACTATGCCAAAATTGTTTTTAAAAAAAGCCTAATGGTTCTTAAGACAGTTTCCCTGTATGTCATACTTTTAGATTTTCCCATACTGTCCCAGTTAAATACTGTATAGTAAGTACTAAATGTGAATGCGATATTTTCATTATAATGTACACTGAGTGCTGACGTGATCGTAGAAATAATATTGTCTGGTTCTAATTTTTATGTACACGGTGTCTTAGAAGGTTAAACAAAACAGTAATGAAAAGAACAGCACCATTAACACTTATACAACGTTTGACCCATTGACGTATATGTAATCAAAATTTTCCAGCAAAGAACCCTCAAGATATGTCCAATCGTTTGATTTATACGCGTCATCGTTTCAAATTGGTAGGCAGTAGCTGTAATAATAATAAGCAACATGAAGTGAATCCAGTAGATTATTAAAAGGCTAGTTCATCCATCACATTGATACTTTAATATCAATTTGATGCCCATTCACGTTGAAACCTGCTAATAAGACTCTTCATTCAATATTTAATTGATTTTTTTTTTTGTTGTTTGGTACGGTCAAGTGTTGTTCTCTTGTATTTGCTGCCCACAATTGCGTCTTCGATTATAAATGAAATATACAATTAAAATACATTTGAACACTCTGTAATGGAAATACATATTAATTACTTTGAACTTTATGCTTAAACAATTTGTAAAAGCCCTACAGTTATCATTTTTTTAGATTTTTATACACGTTACGAAATGTGTGAAATCTACATGAATAATTAATTATTAACAAAATTCTACTCGGCATTGTATACAATAATAGTTCCTAGTTCTTATGTAAATCCTTAATCTTGTCTTTGTATTTAATTATATATCTATTCACCAATCTAGTTAAATTTCATGACAAACTCAATTCAATTATTCAGAATATAACGCACCGAGTTTCTATAGAGCCTTGATTGCCTATGAATGGAGAGATTACTGCCAATAAGATTAATGCTATTGTTTCCGTATGAGGCGAAAAGGTGTTACTTTAATCAAACATATCCTGATCTCTCACGCCCATGTTACCTACCTTACTTATTTCTGCCGCCAAGCAGTACTGCGCTTCGGTTTTGACTGGTAAGGGTGCTGGTGAAATTATAAGCACATGGGATTTGTCAGGGTGACAGGCGATTCGAAGCTCTGAGTGGCACTACAACTGATATGAACAGATGTGACGCTTACCTCCAGGCGCACAACTTGTTCGTCCCATCACTTGTTAATATAAAAAAAGTTAAAATTCCGCGGCCTGTATGTAATTTGGCTTTACCAAATTCTGTTATAGCTTCATTTCGTATGCAGTAATAAACCTTGTCACAATAGAGTGCTTTAAAAATATTTTAAAATTATTATCAAGTATCTTTGATACAGATTCAGAGTGATAAAGATATTCATGATTTATTCTAGGTTTAAAGTAACATACGCCTTGATAACGTCTTTTTTCTTGTTTTTTTTTTATAACGTCAAGTGACGGGTCGAACAAGTCGTGCGCGTGATGGTAAGCTACACGCCTGTCCATAACAGTTACAGAGCCACTCAGAGCTTTAAATCGCAAATATCTGAGGGGCACTACCACTGCGCCCGTCACCCTGAGACATAAGTTGACAAGTCCCATGTGCGTGTAATTTCACCAGCACCCTTACCCTTCAAAAGTGAACAAAAATAGGTAAGGTGGCTGTACTACCCTGGATGAACTCTTTCACAAGGAGCTCTACTGCTACTAAACTCTCTACTTTAACGGTGTTCTTACACCTAAATAATATCTATCCAGTCACGCCTTGATAAAGTTCAAGTTATAACGTTCAGGGAACAAGTCTGCAGGCAGGGAATTCTACCCCATAGCCGTTCGCCATATAAATGTGGAAGCGTAACGCTTCGTGCGAATCTTTGGAATATCCACAACATAGGGGTGGAATCCAAGCCTACGTCTAGTCTCCCCGATGGAAAGGGGAAGACGGACTTAAATCGTTTAATTCCATCACATACTCTCCGTGATATACCCTGTAAAATACCGATAAACAGGCAACTTTACGGCGGTGTTCAAGGCTCTGCAGTTTCGCCTCTACTAATCCCGCATTTTGTATCGCCTTTCCAACTACACACCACTTAATGGAGTAGGTGTACTAAGTTTTATGGTACATTTTCGCGTCGTGAAATATGTTTTTATTAGCCATGACTATAGCCAACAAACACAAGCAATATGAAGAAAGTACAAGGAATAAATTAGATGTCTTTTTCGATTTTTTAGTTTTTTTAGTGTTTGAAAAAAATGAAATGATGTCATGTCATTTTTTTTGCATTGGACGTTTTAATAGAATAGAATTATAATAGACTCATATAATTTGATAGTAACATTTTCACTTAGAATTGGTTAATATATACAACATAACGTGTTGATTTGCCCAACCCAGTACTTTAGAATTGGACAATCAAATCTGCCTGCAACGATTTTCAGGATGGTGTTGTGGATACTTCTGACACGAGTCATAAGCGATACTATATTTTTCCGCATTCGTGTCGTGAACTTGCGCGTCTGCGAACATGCCTGATGCACTGTACCATCTTGGAAGTCGCAACAGCATCCTGAAATCGTTATTATTGACGTCCTCCATGGTCGAGTGGCTTGCACACCAGTTTTCATGACGTCGCCATCTCTGAGATCCCGGGTTCAATCCCCGGCCGGGTCAGTGTAGAAAACTTTTATATATTGTCTCGGGTCTGGGTGTTTGTGGTACCGTCCCCGATTTCCATAACACACTGCTTTAGCTACTTACTTATACTTACTTATGTGATGTTGACTAATATTTATTTATATTGAACGCGCAGGGCGTTATAGGCTTCGAATAAAGTAATTTTAACATCGATGGAGCATCTCGCGAACCTGCGGACCAGCCTATTGCATCTCACTGACACCGCCCTACGCTTCCATCAATATATTATGTTAAGTAATTACATCCACTAGAAATACCAATTTTAATTATTTGTTACAGCAAAATGATTCTGACGACGAGCAATGCGCTTTGAGTGACAAATGGCAGTACGAGAGGAAGTCGCGGCGATGGTCCCGCGTCGTCGAGATAACACCGCAAGCGCAACACAGGCTGCAGGTAATAATAATAAAATAACAAAAACAATATATCGGAGAACCACACCCATTACTGTATTACGAATTTCCCTAGTACAAGTATTATGAGTCACAGAGCAACGAAATTCTCTTTGGATCACAACCCAGAACATAGGAACCTCAGCTAACGCCCACAACACTAACACGTATTAGGATACAGAGATTGTCAAATAACACCTTCCACATTACTTATAATCAATAATCGGAATAGAGTTTTCCAAATGAATAGATAAATATGCAGTGTACAAGGGATGACATGGAGTGGTGAAAACCACCATATTGTCATTATTTACTTTATTCAAATTAAGGATTACCTGAAATAGTTTTACTGCATCGTGGAACAAAACTATTCACTTAGAAAGCTTAAGTTGGATTTTAAAGTCAAACAACTTACATAAACGTCTAAATTGGGAATGGGGTAATTTGCATAATTACTAGAGAAATATCAGTGTTCAACTTGAATGAATGAACGAATGAATAAATAAGCCAATATTAACACAAGGAGTGCCGTAAAAAATACGAAATAAAACAGTTTTAATAAGAATTGGGTTTTACTGAACATTAGTAATACCTTCATCTAGGTTGTTGTTGTGTTAAATGAAATAGAATTTTTTTCTTGTAGTATAGCATTTTTTTTATTTAAGAGCAAGAACTTGGCTTGGTGATTTAATTACATGGTTTTTGGCTATAAATATAACACAGGTCCATGCCTGTCATGTGTATGAATAAGTTATTACTACATGAATATTCCGGTATTCATTCCAAACCCTCGATCCTTGTACTATGGAAATATAGGGCTCGATTATTGTGAACTTTATAGCTGATATAACAAAAATAATTTTGGTGACTGATGAAGAAATAAAACAAAAATGTTTTAGCAGTGACAAAATTTAATTGAACCCATTCATTTTTCAATTAACTAAAATTTACTTCACAATCTCTTTAGTAAACACAGCTGCCTATTTCGCTATTTGTATGATTTGGTATATTACTAAAAAGCACATTGTTAAGTCTTTACCAGTTGTATCTTTCATAAGATTTCTTATTTATGTCATTGATATTTAAATAAGTAATTATTTACAGTCGTAATAACGAAGCATGTACATTGTTCAGCAGCTAAGAAAGCTTTATTAATTTATAATTACTGTAATACAGAGTGTTTTTTTTTTAATGGAACAGGAATTTTTGAAAATTGGGAGTTTTTCATGCAAAATGTTATTAAATTTGACCAACTTTTGCTGTCCCGATTTTTTTCGTCCCATACAATGAAAATCATCCTTATAAGAAACTGAGTCTATCGGCATTAAAAAAATGTAAATTTTATTAATTTTGTATGATAAACATTTTATGAAATTTGACCAACTTCTGCTACAATGAAATGATCCTTACATAAAACTGAGTCGATCAGCACAAAAAGTAATCAATTTCAATCACGCTTGACCAAAAAATTTACTGTACCAAAATTGTTTTCACAAAATGCGCTTAATGGTTCCTCAGACAGTTTCCTTGTATCTTCTGTGGTTTCGGATTTCCCCATACTATCCTATTTAAAAAAAATGTATATACCTATATTTAGTAGCAGTAGAGCTCCTTGTGAAAGTTCGTCCGGGCAATTACTGCGACCTTACCTGTTTCTACCGCCAAGCAGTAATTTCAACATAACTGCGTTTCGGTTTGGAAGGGTGCTGGTAAAATTACAGGCACATGAGACTTGTCAAATTATGCCTCAGAGTGACGTGCACTGTCGCAGTGCCCCTGAAATCTTTGCAATTTAAAGGTCTGAGTGGCACTACAACTGTTACGGATTACAGACAGGCGTGTCGCTTGCCACCACGCGCACGACTTGTTCGTCCTATCACTTGGTATTATACAACAAAGTCACTGAATAATCTGCTACACCTATTATATGCTTAAATGCAGAATACACTAAAAGACATTTAGAGGGATGCTTAAAGAAAAGGTTAAATCACGATAAGTATGTTCATATGAAACTCTGACCACATTTCATTTGAAAAAAGAATGACTTCAATCATCTTTTGATTTCTATTAACGGACTGGAGTATGTGGCCAGTGGTACATAATTACCGTTCCTTTAAATCACCATAAGTATGTTCATATGAAACTCTGACCACATTTAATTTGAAAAAATAATGACTTCAATCATCTTTTGATTTCTAATAACGGACCGGTGTATGTGTCCAGTGGTACATAATTACCGTTTCTTTAAATCACGATAAGTATGTTCATATGAAACTCTGACCACATTTAATTTGAAAAAAGAATGACTTCAATCATCTTTTGATTTCTAATAACGGACTGGAGTATGTGGCCAGTGGCACATAATTACCGTTTCTGCCAATCACGATAAGTATGTTCATATGAAACTCTGACCACATTTAATTTGAAAATTGAAAAAGAATTACTTCAGTCATCTTTTGATTTCTAATAACGGACTGGTGTATGTGGCCAGTGGTACATAATTACCGTTTCTTGGGCCAAGCGTCCAATCAACAACCCCTGAAGACGCCTCGTAGAGAGGAGAAACACGTATCGGGTTGTTTTGGCGGTGGTATCTGTAACTGGAGTTAGCTTGTGTTATCTGTTTTATTAATTTTATGGAGCGGCAGGGTGGGAAATAATAAATGCAAGAAAAAAATATTCAATATAAGCGCAGCTATTTTGCACGATTTAACCTCCATTTTAATTTACTTCCGTTGTTATTAACGTCTGAGGTTATTAATTAATGTAAAATTTGTCTCAGGTGATTGCCGCAAGGGCTCTTGCAGAGAGAGAGGCTCGCGAGGCTCGTGGAGAAGTCGAGGACGACGAAGACGAAACTCTCCCTACCATTAGAGTGGGTCTAGTCGATGCCGATGGGCGTTATACTGATGTTGAGCCAGACCTGTAAGTACCGCAAATGAAACAAAAAAGAAGCATCTTTTTGACTTCGCTGTAGTCGAGTAACGAGTTCAATCATAGTTCATTATCACCAGAACTACCATTGGATAGAGTAATAAAACCTTTAACCATCTTAGTTTCTCGAACTTAGTAGTGTAACGTGATACAAAAGACTATTAAACTTGCTTGACACTTGCGAAGTACACAGTAATAAGAAATTTAATAGAGTTGTATTTTAGTCTCTTAGGATTTTTTCTAACAAATTTGTTATTCATTTTAAACATCTACCATCTCCTCCTCTCTCCTGTCTTTTGCTATGCTTCTTTATTTTTTAGTATTAAACAGAATGAAATTTTGGTTTATTTATCAGACGCCATTTCATTAAGTTATTTTGTAAGCAAAGTAATTTAATAAACACCGTGAAACCAAATTCTCAAACATATTATGTAATTGTTAAATTTTTTGGGTACAAGTAATATTCACAAAAGATTAATTGAATAATTTCTACCTTTACATACTCAATCTATTTCGAAGTCTTGCACTATAAAAAAACTTAAAGAAACAAAAGTTCCAAACATAAACAAAAACATTTTATATAAATGTCGTTTGTCGCCAATTCTCACGATGTTTTCCTTTACTGTAATTTGTTACATGAAGAAAAACGTTTACGATCACTGCTTCTTTCTTTACTGTTTTTCTAATTCTGCCACTGCAGCTGCGCCACTACTATTTTCGCACAATACTTAGAAGCGAAGCCGCAGTGCTACTGCAGCGTTTCTGCAAGTGTCTAATTTGAAGGCGCTTTAACTGTCCCAAAAAAGATTTGTTTACAAGTGAACATTTTAACTAGCCCCACTCCTTATTCTGTTGACTCTTTTTTTTAACATTTTCTTCATTATGAAAGCATGATTTAAGCGTGAAAAACGCAGTGTGTTCTCGTCTATATAAATACCCGAAATTAAACCCGCCAGAGTGTGTTTCATGCTTTAGCTCTACTAACAAGACCAAGCAACCTGCAGACGGCCGCTACTGATCGTCGTTGACTGCCCGCGGTGGTGACACAATTAACGTACGACAAAAGATTGACGTGGTCTATCTTGGCTAAATTCGAGATTTCATAAGAACACATAAGAGATTTTCATTACAATCATGTACGAGACTAATATGGAAACTCTACACCATCTACAAGTGCATAACGAATTTTACAACTTTGAGTTATATTTCCTTCAATGCGGTGTCACAGGACTTTTTCGATACAAAAGAGCATTCCATGTTACCGAAATGTAGGTGAATAACCGTACGGACATTCGGCCCCTAGTTAAATGCGGTGAAGTAAAAATTCGCTGCCTGGAAAGCTTGTTTTTAAAAGACAGAAAAGTCACAATCGCAAACGATAAATTGGTCGGGTATCATATATTGAATATAATGAGATCTAAATTTTTATAAGAAAAAAATTGTGTATTATAAAATAATGTAAAATTATCTATAAATATTTTTAAACATTATTTCAGTATAATTTCGCTAGGTACGGTGTTATTGTACGTAATATTTTTTTAATGCGATCCATGTTTAAAGGTAAAAACCTCGATATATTATTAACGAAGCCAACTAATTACAACTTACTCTTGACTAAGTGTGTCATCACGTAGCCAAATTTGTTATTGAGTGGCACTGCTCACAAGATACTATTGTACTCTCTAGTTCACATCTAAATTTTGCAGTAGTAAAGCTCCTTGTGAAAGAACTCATCCGGGGAAGTTCTTCCACCTAGCCTGTTTCTCCCGCCAAGTGGCAGTGCAAGCATTACTACATAGGGCGCACTATAAGGTTCCGGAACTGCCCACGTACATAAACAATATTAAAAAAGTAATTACAACATTTGAAAATGGAATGACCTTATGAGCTTACCTTACCAGCCTACAGTCCCAACTTGGCACCTTGTGACTTTTATTTATTTCCAAAAATTAGGAACCTGTTACGCGATCAAAAATTTTCAACAGCTGATGAGGCTGGCGAAGAGTATGAAAAATATGTTTCAGAGATTGTCACGGAGGAGTGGCATAAATGTTTTCAAAATTGGTTCATTCGCATAAAAAAGTGCATTAACGCTAACGGAGAATATTTTGAAAAACAATAAATTCGTTTCTGACCATTTATAGTATTTTTTCTTATTCATTCCGGAAACTTATTGTACGCCCCACGTACGTGCCGGTTTTGCTGGTGAAATTACAGGCACATGGAACTTGTCAACCTCACGAGTATGTCTTAGAATGACAGGTGCACTGGCAGTGCCCCTCAGATATTTACATTGCAACTTTCAGGAATAGGCGTGTCGCTTACCATAAGGCGCATGACTTGTTCATCCTATCGCTGATATCATAGAAAAAAATCACCGATTTACGTACACTCGCGCATACTACCTATTCTACGTTAGTCCTCAAGGGATCGTAGCCCTCAAAACGTTTCCTGCGAGAATTGGTAGTGCTATTTGTAACTAGAACCAAGATCATATTTTGTGTACGTTTAATGCCTTGCGCAGGCTGTTTCCCCATTCTACAATAATGCATAACATGTTGTTATCCTGTGTCTAGTAATACATCACGATATCACATTTTTTCCATATTACTTTTTTACGCGTGTATGTTTGTTTATGTAAAGATTCTTTTTCCGGGTTATTCTTTGGCAATCCTGACTAATGTGAACTCTGTGGAATTTATAAGGAATGATTTATCTGAAATGAAAGTCAGAGGCGAAGAGGCGAAAGCTCGAGTGGCACTCTACCCGACTAGAGAACTCTCCGGCTGAATATTCCGTGACGCTGTTCCTACGCTCTGTATTCAATATTTTCACCTAATTGTACTTCTCTCCCTTTTATTACGAATTCCGTTTAAGAATAGAAGTGTTCTTGACAAATCATTTTTTAACTTTATCACATTTTATATGAGTACATTGGCTTCGTACTTTTATTAAGCACTATTGTGCAAGGTTGGATGAAGTAGACATTATTTTACCTGACTTAGGCCATAGTCCATCATATATAATGCAACTTGGGTACTATATTTGTCCCCGAGAATAAAATCTTATGTGACATGGTGTCTGATGTTCAAATTAGTAAATCTAGTAATAGCACATGATTCGGATAGATTCGAATCTAATTCTGCCGCCAAGCAGTGATGTTGAGCATTACTGCGTTTCGGTTTTGGAAGGTAAGAATGCTGATGAAATCCAGGCACATGGGACTTGTCAAATTATGTCACAGGATGAAGGGCGCAGTGACAGTGGCCCTCAGATCTTTGCGATTTATAGCTCTGAGTGGCACTGCAACTGCTATAGACAGGCGTATCACGTACCTTTAAGTGCATGACTTGTTCGTCTGTTCGACTGTTTCTGACTAGAGCAGACAATAGCCGTAAATGTGATTTACACCGCAGGGGAGAAACACTTGCATCGCTTTTTGTGCCGACTATATCGCCAAGCAGAATATTGTATAGCTTAAAATAATAACTAACATATTAACATGCCCCGTCTCGAACGTTGTGAAAAACGGTTACAACCTTAAAATGTACCGGGATTTGTCATGTATATCTTTGTCTTATTCTGTAATAGCAAAATAATCTGAGAGCGAAGAACATCGTAAACTAATATTTCTCTATTTTCTATGCTTTATAATAGTTCTGCGATTACAATGCTATCACCCTCGTATCGGATACGCCTAGAAACCATTATCAAACATTTCAACCAGTCATTCACAGACTGTCAACCAGTTTGAAAAGAACTCTAGGAATTTTTTTTTCGAAGAAGTAAACACAGGAAATAAAAGGCCCTTTTGTATTGGACGTATAATAAGAGACAGGTGAAATCTTGCTCTTTTGTATCTAATGTTTCAATCGACCCTTTGCGCAATCAAATGCCTAAGATTGGGGCGTGAAATCTTCAAGAAGGTACTGTTACATTCTCATTAATGCCCCGGTACTGTGATTGATAAGACAAATTGTATGACGGGCCCATTATATTATCTTTATTCGATTGATGTGACAAAGTATTTTAATTGAAGTATTGAATGCCGAGAGACTTACGAAACTCAGGTCAACAGTATATTGTAAATTTTACTTACAATCCAGTTTATATTTTTAAAATTAAATAGATCCATATATCAATTCTTAGATTTTGAGATTGCAACACAATAGAAATAAAACTATTTCTTCGTGTCTAAATCGCGTGTATTTGCGTTTTTCCAATTAACCAAAGTTTCGGCCCCTTTACAGATCCCATGGACACGTCTGACTGATTTAAAGAGAACAACAAATATACGCGTAAAAAAGAAGTATACCAAAAAATAGTTTCTATTTCAAAAATATTTCGTACGCAAAACGCAATAATACCTATCCTTAGGTTTCCTGCACACCTTTTATATCGACTTTGTTTAAATACACATATACTACATAAGGGCTCTCGAATTATAAAATGACTATAATTAAGTCCCCAAACCATTTGTTCTACTTACTATTTAGGTACTTAGCCCATCACGTTTCTATTGGATTGCCAAATCACAAGTAATAATGATAGGCTGCAATAACAGGGCTTGGTCTCTTTTCTAGCGTATGAGGAAAGCATTGTAAGATCTTAGACATGAATTTTGACATTGGTGTTGCGTTTTTTATACGTAACAAACAGAGGAGTTCACTCCATCTGATGTTGAATGGAAATTGGAATCCAAAAGTGAAGGAGGAATTTTGACACAATAATTGACTAACCTAACCACCTCCACCACGCATGCCTGCAAAACTTTACTCATGATCAATTCATCATCATCAACAACAGCCTATCGTAGTCCACTGCTGGACATAGACCTCTCCCGTGATCCATTGATAAACAGCAATCGAGAATTGAACACTTTAACCCTCATCACAAACGCATTACACCTGTCATTGGCGGGTACAGGTATCCTCTAAAGACAGGATTTAGCTCATAGCCTGCCACGCTGGCACAGTGCGGTTTGACAACTTCACATGTTTATCCAAAGATTTGTGAATGTTATTCGATAGGTTGCATGACGTAAATATTGAACATTTCAAATGTAGATACATGATGGTGTCGTTCACTCAAATGCTTTCGAAGACTAAATGGTTCTATAATTAATTTTTCTATAATTAAGTTGGAAATATAATTTTAGATCATAATAATAGTGTGTCTGTTTTAACCCAACCTATAATACAAGGTTCAAAAAGGGGTTGTATGGCATACAAACAACTAAGTTAGGTACATAGGAAAAAAAGTTAAAACACGTTGATTTAGTCATACAAAATCAACCAGATAATGAATTTTATAAGAAAAATTGAAACAATTTTAATAATTTTCATTCAATTATAACAAACAAGGCGTTGTATATAACGAACGATTCATAAATTTACAAAAAGTATTTACAATATCTAATTTTTAGCATCTCATTTCAATGTCTAGCTAGAATGTTAGGTACAATTTATAATTGGCCCCACGTCTATTAATTTTTAAGTATTTCTTTTTTGCTTGTACCTAATTGTTGTGCCATAAATAAAAAATCTTCTTTCGACGTTTGGCACATAATACAAAGTATAGCTTAATTATGTTTTAGATATAATCAACAGTGCACACGTCGCCAACAAACTGGACAGCAGTTTGGTTAGTTTTAGTATTGGATTGTTTTATATTTTTTAATTATAGCATTAATAAAAATAGCAGGGCCTCGACAAACGCCAGAAGCAGAGCCATAACCTCAGCACATTGCGTTGCGTCAGACCCAATAACCTACTTTAAGGGCGTAAGGCGTTTTAGAGCGGAAAGCTCTAATTCAAGATTAATTGTCAGTATGTGAAACTGACGCGTTAATAGGCTAACGAAACAAGTTTCTAACTTCGGAAAAGCGTAAAAATGTTCTTATTCACACACATTAATCATTACGGAGTAAATTAATTTACTTTTTCAAAACCGTTTTAATTTCCTATTTGATTTAGTCGTTTAAAGTCAAGTTCAAAGAGAGAAAACAAGAATTAATTTCCAATAAATATGTTTATGCTTTAGATCGTTTATTGCCTCGGCGTGACCTACAAAGCTACAATTTCAATTTATCAAAGAAATAAGGTTTTACAGTACGGTGACATTTATCCGAACTAATACTACAAATGCGAAAGTAACTCTGTCTCTTTCTAGCGTTTTTACGCCTAAGCCGCTGAACCAATATTGAAGAAGTTTGGTATAGATACAGATGAGACCTAGGAGAAGGACATAGGCTACTTTTTGTCACAAATTTAAATTTTAAAGGGAGTGAAATAGAGGATGGAATTTTGTATAAGAACCAATAAAACTATTCAAATTAGTATAGTACAGTAGGCTACTCGAAGTGATAATTCTACTCAGACGAAGTCACGGGCTCCTTTCTTTTCACCAGTCTTTTCGTTAAAAATAAGAGATGAGAAAAAATAAAAGTAAAACAAATAATAATAATGTATCCAATTACATAGATACATATTACTGGCCGATATATCAATATCAGACTGCGTGTTCTGATATTATGAAATTATGAAAAATACTAGAATAGTTTTACTAATATACAACCCTTATACAATAAAATTGATTAACCGCTGAGCCACTAAAATGTTTTATATTTTTAAAACGGTTTTTCAGTTATTCAAAAGTTCAACACTACCGTTACTTTTAATTAAATAAACATTCCACATTATATGACGACGGAAACGATTCAAATCTACGTGGAGATGTTACAAAGTTTACGATGTCATCTGAGAATAGGTAAACACGTAATGAGAAAACTTAAAGTGCCATCCCTTGTAATGAACAAATATGATGCACTATGTTGAACAGGTGGGTTCAAAACGACTAATGAAAAAAAACTTAGCAGAGGCGTTTCCTATGATGTGCCAGGCAACCATACCAATTACCTGGTCTCAAACTAGGGAATTCTCTGTACTATGAGTACCAGAGTAACGGAACTCACTCTGGGACACTTTCCAAAATATCCAGACCAGAAACAATGTGGAAAAGTTAATTTCCCAATATTGTCCTACCGGCAATTTAACCCAGGACTTATTCATCACAGTATAAATTGTTGAGCAAGCGAGATCTTCGTATTAATTCGGCATAAAATGGGCAAATTTTCGTTAGCAACATTCTTTCTAAGGCCCCGCGTATATTAAAATGTACTTAACATGTGAAGTAGTTCAGACCCAGACAACATTATTCCGATGATCACGTAAACGCCCAGTGTACTTCATTATGAACAGATTATATTTTGGTCAAATGTCTAATTCCCTAAAGCCGCCATATTTCCGTATTATCGAATCTGATTGGATAGGAAGAGCAAACTGTGATCACATGACATCCGTCAACTAATCACAGATTAGTTGTCAAAATATCTTGTGGAAAATGACTCACCCGCAGGAATAGCGTAAGTTTATCAGGTTTATTCACTGAAATCTTTAGTACATTCGTATAGAGTTTTAGTTAAAAATAACAAACAGTAAACTACAGAAAACTTTATAATTTAGAACCTAAGCATGCATAGCTATTTTTAATTTAGCAAAATAAGAATCTGTACATTATAACGCACACTAAGCATTACTAAGTGGAAAATAACGTATATATTTTTCATAATCGTAATTTTTTTTGTTATATGTTACGCGATAACTCAATGTTTGTGAACGGATTTTGATGATTCTTTTCTTTCTTTTTTGTTGGGAAGAGAGTACGTCAGTAGTTGCCCCATTTGAATTTAAAGAAAATATTCCACCTCTAAGGGTGGCAAGATAGGGGATGAATCCGGTATCGCGCACTGTCTGGTAACCGGTTTCAATAAAACTTGGCAAGTAGATGTAATTCCACGAACTTTTGAGGTCGATTTTTTAGTACTCTGCATTGAGATTATTTAATTAAAAAGAATGTGAAGAATACTATCATATATACATATATTTATTTTTATTGCCTATCTTATTTCATAAACGCCGATTGTGCATTTAAATGAACGCAAAATATCGCATTCAAATTTAGCGCAATGTATATTACGTGACCTTAGAGTATCTAGAAAAATACTTTAAAAAATCCAATTTGCGAGTTTCATACAAAATTAAGGGCATACTTGCGTGAGCCTGAAGCATATAATTGTATTTGCACATTTTAATGTACAATGGGCGTTTAGCGCTTCTCCAGTTTCATTTTGCTGGGCCTTAGGAGGATAATGCCCTTTCGGGAAGTTAGCTATATACCTACCAGTATAATATTTATACTAATAAACAGTACATTCACTATGCAGCAGTCAATGACATTAATAAGTTTTGAGATATAAGTATTCAGTCAATAATCTTTACTACTTGCATGGAGTACTATTACTCAACCGTCTGTACAGATACCACCGTTATGACTGTTACAGTAGGATGTTTAGTAATTGTCAGCATATTTGTTTTACATTCCTGTCGATTGTATACATGGGTGTCGAATCAGTTAAATCCAAGATGTTTCACAGTCAGTTCTCCTTCTTTAAAATGCACAGTACATGTACGCGATGACAGATATCTTTGCAATCACTATATTCTGTTGCAGGCTGAAAGTTCCGGGTCAGGCTCCGTTAATACAGTTACCAAGTAGCGACAAAGAAGACGAAGGCGAAGAAACCGCTACCCGATTCCGCCGAACTGGCTCGGAACGCCTCAGAGACGGCGCTAAAGCATTACTGCGCCGTGTGGAATCTATAAAAACTAGGCGACGAAAACGCCAGAACCGCACAGAAGTTGTCGTTTCTTCCCCACATTTTTTGGATGCCCAACAACAAGACAAATACCCAGATCTGAACTACATTGATATGACACCAACTACGCCGACGGCTTTTCCGTTTCCGGATTTTAATAATTCACCGTCGCGTGTGCCAGTAATCCGCACGCAACCGCCTTCGCCGATAACAACCATGCCTCCATCGCCAATTGCCCAAGCGGAACAAGCGTTTTCACTAAACCCGCCCTTTGGAGATGACAGTTCAAGCTACGCTTCTGATAATAGCATGAGCTCAAGTAATAAGAGCACCAAATCTAAACTGGGCCGAGCTAAAAGAATCTTCCATAGAGGACTAAAGAATAATGATGAACCTGCTGCTCTCAGCGACTCAGAATGTCAACCCGCAAGTTGGAGACACAACTACTTCAAAGATCACACCAAAGACGCCACTCATAAAAAAACTGAGGTAAATTCGCCATCTTGTGATCACCTATTTGTTTTTAATTTTTATTTTACTATTTTCTAATTTTATTACGTAACCAACAGGTTGTTGTTGAGCCTCCTTCTCCAGTGGAATTGAAGCCTGATCCGGCCGTGTTACGTGAAGTGCAAAAGTCACCAGGGCATACTCCGCACCGCCGCCAGGCAATCAGAACTAGCTCCCTTAATCTGGGCAAAGACGGGCAAAAGTGAGTTATTTTGTTATTTCAATTTTAGATATAATTGTACTCAGTTTCTAGTAACTTTAACATTTAGTTTGGTCAATTCAACGTTTTGGAATTTATTGGGGTTTAGGAAATGTAATTTAGTTTTGTGTCGATTTAAAATTGATTCACGAAATTAACGTTAATTTAGATATTTTAATAAATCTAATCACGCGACACTTGTGGAAACTGTAGCCCACTCCCATGTCCCAGTCGCCAGAGCGCTCGAGAACCGCAAAAGGCTGAAATACGACGAGCTAGCTTAGTACTACAGCTTTCTGCCTTTTGCGTTTGAAAGTCTGGGCCCCTGGGGGCCACAGGCAAATCTTCCAGGGGACGATCTGTTGGATAACCTCGTAGAAGCATCCGGTGACCACAAGTCTGGAAGTTATTTCCGCCCAAGGAAAAGTTTAGCTATTTAAATGGAAAATGTTGCCAGCCTTCTGGGCACGATGCTCCAGGGTATAGCCATCGAGGAAAATTTGTATTTATAAACTTTCAAAAACTATATTATATTATATTTATATTAAAATTTAATACAGAATTAATGATGATTAATTCTGTATTAAATTATTTCATTGTCCATGAATGATTTCGTTGCGAGTTTCATAAAACGGTTTTATATTAACTAAAGTAGAGCAAATCTCTACCGCTAACACAATTACAATACGCGTGAGTTTTCAATATTGAACCAAGCCCACTTGCCAATAGCAGAAATCCATTACGATATTTCCAATCTTCTACATAGGGCGCACTATAAGGTTCCGGAACTGGCAATTTACATAAACAATATATAAAAAGTAATTACAACATTTGAAAAAGGAACTCTTTGGCTGTAGAATACAGTTTGTTTCATTTGACTGTCACTTGTTTTTACATTGTGCGTCATTTTAGAACTTCGTTGTCTATATCACCATGGATTTAACTCGTGAAAATTTTCGTAGTATGATTTTCTACGACTTTAAGTGTAATTTAACAGCTCAGCTCGGCTTCAAACTACTTTTGGCGACGAAGTACCATGCAAGACGACTATTTATAGATGGTTTGCAGAATTCAAACGCGGTCGTGTGAATCTCAGTGACGAATTTCGTGATGATCGCCCGTCCACTGCTGTACACAACAAAAACATAGATGCTGTGCGCCGTATGATCAAAACATATAGGCATGTGACATACCATGAGATTCGGACATCTTTAGGCATAGGCATGAGTCAAATACAATCAATACTACACAAACATTTGAGTATGAAAAGGACAGCCTTTTCCGAGACCGAGAGCACAGGCTCTCGGTGCATCCCACACAATTGGACTGAGGCTCAAAAAACGGATCGCGTCACTTGGTGCAATGCCATGCTTAGCAGATTCAACGAAGGGGCGTCTAGTTTGGTGTAGGACATAGTAACAGGTGACGAAACATGGATTTATAATTACGATCCCAAAACAAAGCAATCGAGCGTATGGGTCTTTCGAGATGAGCCGAAACCAACCAAAGTGGCGTGCGTGCAAAGTGCCTCTAAGCGGATGATTGCTTCTTTTTTTAATAAAACTGGACACGTGGCTACTGCTGCTTTGGAAAATCATTGTACCGTGAATAGTGTAATATTCACGGTAGTAGTAATGTAATATTCACAAATTTCGTAAAAAAAACCGTAAACACCGTATCATCTTGCGCCACGATAATGCCTGTTCTCACATGGCCAGACAGACAAATGAATTTTTGAAAGTGAACAACGTTGGCCTTATGAGCCATCCTGCGTACAGTCCCGACCTGGCACCTTGTGACTTTAATTTATTTCCAAAAATTAAGAACCACTTACGCGGTCAACGATTTTCATCACCTGAAGACGCTGTCGAAGAGTATGAAAAATATGTTTCAGAGATTGTCACGGAGGAGTGGCATAAATGTTTTCAAAATTGGTACATTCGTATGAAAAAGTGCATTAACGCTAACGGATAATATTTTGAGAAACAAAGTCATTTCTGACCATTTATAATATTTTTTTCTTATTCATTCCAGAAACTTATATTGCGCCTCACGTATAAGTAAAATTTAGAACCTCTACGTTCATCGGAAACTACTTATATGGAGATAGCAGTTCAAGATATTTTACGAGTAGAAAGCAAGTCATTACGCACTAAAACTATTACTTGAACGGAGTTCATTAGTCTCTCGGCAATAATGGACGCGAGTAGCTTATTCGCATGTTAATGTGTTACACGTTGAACTAATGTGCAAGATGTTGTATTTTAACTGTCACTTATAATAAATTAATGCCTCTTGCTAGAACACTCGATACGCTGGATAATTAAAAGCGCTTCTAATTGAATATGACAATCTATTCGCTTAGCTCAGCTTTATTGTAGCATTCAGGTCAACTCGTCAATCGTTACGACACTACAGGAAGTTATCTAGTAGTCGTTACTTGAAACGTTTCACTTTTAATTTTTGCTAAAAACGATTGAAACAAACGCGTTTGATGAGGGTTTTGTGTTATAATTTATCTGATATACACGTACACTTCTTATCGTATCGATGGCATACACTGTAAGGCTGATAATTGACTGCGTGTGAAGTTGGTAACGATTTCATGCATTGCCTGCATGCAATTGACCTTTTCTGCATGAAGTCGGTTTCGACTTTTTGCAGTTAATGCGGGAAGCCGTTATCAACTTCATGAGGTCTCGCGTAACAACTTCACACATTAACTGCATGCGGTCGAAACCGATGCAGCTGCAATTGAACGTAGTGCGGGGAGGCGCCTTTCGCGAACCCTTTTGATATACACACTGAGTAATAACAAACAATCTTTTACATGTACAGCCAGAGGAGTTATCGCATTTTCAGCGTACTCGCCTTAATTTTAGTAACAAAATGCTCAATACTTTCAGGTTCCGCGACAGAAGCCTGAAGCGCGACAAATCGGCATCGAGGAGCTCTGAGCTCGATAGCAGCCCTAACTCGGCTGGATCGCGATCTCAAGACGGAGACGTAGACCAAGATGAAGATGAAGATGGCTTCGATCCCAAAAATAAGAAGTGAGTCAAAATATTGAAAACACTGATATTATTTACTATGATAAAATTATAATGTACATCTACGTATCATATGAATTAAAATCGAATGCACACGCGAACGTAATAGAAATAAGCTAATGCGAAATTTTCATAGCTAAGCGAATTTTGAACATTGCTAACACTTAAGAGACATAACTTTTTGCAGTTTAACATAATGAAATTTAAAAAACATTTTATTGCTAGTTAATTCTAAAAAGTAAAACAATTTCTAGCAAAGAAATATTCAATATGCCAACGTTAGGATTTTTGTTTTGGAATCATTTCTTTCTGACAAAAGACGTTCGTTGTCAATTTGTCCGCCATTTAATTCAATCAATTATCTGCATGGTCTTTCACCTACTTATTAAACAAATCCAGTATGTCTTTGCAAATGAACGTCGCAAACCATAGTTTCATAATTATGTCGTTTAGTTTTTGTATCTTATTGTGGTTTTGTTTATAATGATAAAGGTTTTTTGACATAATATATATGGATAATAAACAAAACCTACCAATGTCGTTTATTAATATTTATGTAAATATATATAAACGACGTTATGCCTTGAAATTAAAATAGTTATGACACCAATGAAGATCTCACTGTTGGTTGTCGAACATCGTAGGCTAAATTAATTTTTACCTTTCTTACAGAAATAACTTAACAAGATGGTACTCGTTCCGATCTTCATCTGCAATGAATGGTGGTCCTAAAGCCCAAAACACTTTACAACAATCGTCTCCCACCAAAGAAAAGGACCCTGAGGCTTACTGTAAGTAAAACCTAAAACCCTAAAAACTAAAAAAAAGTAAAAGCCATAACGACGATAAAGATGAAAATTAAAAACATAAGAGTTATAAGTAAAGTTATGTTTTATTCTGCAGTATCTCGGCCAATGTCCTCGCTCTCTTGCGGCCAGCTCCACATTTTGCGCAAACTAGCATTGCTGAGGCTAACAGCCTGCATGGAACGATACTGTCCATCGCACAAGTCCGGGTGGAATTGGGAACTTCCGAAATTGATCCGCAAAATCAAGTCCCCGGATTACAAAGGTAATATAAACACACTGGATTACTTGTACTCCATAAATTTATAAGAGCATTTCATGAATGTGGCAAAAAAAATGATGTTGGAAAACAACTGACCTAGATCTTGTCTAACATGAAGATTCCTTATATCCGCATCATTTAAATCAAAAAGTGATTATCATTTTCATAAAAGTTTTGTTCCTTGGAAGTAAATTAAGATAGGACTCTCCGTTCCTAACCATTTTCCAGCACCTGAAAACTTATTTTACGCTTTTTCAATCTGCTCGTTGCATTATGAAAAACCGCAAAATATTGCAAATGAAAAACCGCGGTTTACTTCGGGCTAGCGCAAAGCCTATTTGTGAAACAAAATTATATCGTGAATTAACCATGCTAAATCTTATTACATAAGTTGAATGCTGCGAAAGCGAGTTAAGCTGATGCGATTTAATTAATTTTATATAAGTTTAATATCTTTTGATGTTACTTGTCCGACGATAATTATAACCATAATCTTATGTAAGTTCAAAGGATGTTATATTTGCACTGTAACAAACAAAGGACAAAACACGTCGACTCTCGGTCTATACATGTTTAGAAGTAAGAATGTTGCTTGCGATTCTTTGCGATATTGTGCGTAGCTAATATTTTCCCCATGTTGCACATCTGTTTTGTTTATATTAAGTAGATATGTTCGTATTGGTGATTAAATCTTGCTTCTAGGATTGACATCTTTACAAAAAACTTTTTAATAATTACACAGGAGGGCAGGATACCGCCGCGGAGCCGCAACGACATACCGCGACGTTATTTTATATGAATTTGTGTGAATTCGCACTTTACATTTCATCCGGCATGATCTTATGCAACATTTTTGGTGGTTTACTGCTCCTATGTGCCTTACGTTATACAAAAAACATTATATACTTTGATTTTTACTCAATTGGATTTTTGCTTCATTTCAGACAAAACTGTCTTTGGTGTTCCATTGACGGTGACTTTGCAAAGGACTGGACACTCACTACCGAAACCCATCCAAAGCGCTCTCAACTGGTTGAAAAACAACGCTTTGGATCAGGTATAAGCCGAATAGGTCGTTACGATTAGAACAAAGTTTTTGAATTGGGGAACAAATTTATGATCTTTTAATGTCGTGTTTGCAGATGGGAATCTTCCGCAAAGCCGGAGTCAAGTCCCGCATTGCCAAACTTCGTGTCATGGTCGAGGCAGCCGGTGCGGCTAACGCAGCATTTGCCAATGAAAACATGACAACAATAGACACTGATCAGTCAAGTCTCAGTTTTGACGGGTCACAGGCTCATGATGTAGCTGACTTGGTGAAACAGTACTTTAGGGAACTCCCTGACGCTCTGCTCACTAATAAACTCAGTGAGACCTTCATTGCTATCTTTCAACGTAAGTAGTATAGATTTTGTTCTCAAAAATATTAGTGTAAACCGGTTATTTGTCGACAAATAAAACGGTCATAATTCTCTTTATTCAGATGTTCCGGAGCTGTTGCGACCGGATGCTGTTCAGTGTGCACTTCTGCTTCTGCCAGAGGAACACCTGGAAGCTTTGCACTCTCTGCTGATTTTCCTATCTGATGTTTGTACATTTATTTACAAATATTATCTGTTTTTTGAACACCTGTTCGTAATGTTATGTAATGTTATAAATTGTTTCAAATTATAGGTCGCAGAACAGGCTGAAATAAACCAAATGACTGCATCTAATTTGGCTGTATGCCTTGCTCCTACTTTGCTGAGGCTTCATCACGTACCTCCTACAACTGGTAGTACAAAAGAAGGGAATTCTAACAGGTTAGACAAAAAAAATGTGAAAATAACGGTTTATTCGTTCATAATGTAAGCTCAACGGGGAGAACATAAACTAATGTCCGAATACAAATTTCAGATCGGTGATCGAGAATGTTGCTGACCAAAGGCAAATAAGCGAAAGCCGAGCGGCCCATGCTTGCTTATTGCTTCTCATAGAACACCACGAACAGCTGTTCATGGCCCCGGCAGACATGTTAGCCCGTTGCAAGTTCAACTACTTCGATGAAAGTGTACCAGTAAGAATTACATTAATTGTATTAATTCTTCCTAAATGAAATCCTCAATGGTCTCTGATTTTGTTTTTTTTATATCAGGTTGCATTGGAGGAGTTGGGAGCCGACTTTAGTCAGGATTGGAAAGGGTTCCAACAGGCCTGCATTAAAGCTTTACTTAAAGAAGCCAAAGAAAAGTAAGTTGGACATCCTAAAGCTCTATCATAGATCAAAATTATTACTAACATTCTGTTCTATCTAACGCTTAATATCGCTATAGTATACACACTAGTTGATTCGAAATCAATCAGTTATTATATTAATACATCTATTTAGTTCGAGAACATTATTTCGGTTGAACATCTGTTAAGACTATAAAATACTATTTTATTATACTTAAAATGTTTTCATGCTTTTATAGAGTCGGTGGGAAATCAGCGAAAAGGTAAATGAGTGTGTAGAGCGAAATCCAGTCATCGTTCATGGAATTTAGTGTTCTTATAATTCTGTTCTTTATTAGTTTTACTGTAGTTTCATCTTAAACAACTTTGACAATGAGTAAACTAGTTTAATCATATGCTAACACTATTACACTAACATCAATACATACTAATTATAGTAACGTGTTTATCTCAAAGTTACATTTAGTTACAAGGAATCAGAAGTTTGGTTTCGGTTTTTTTTTTGTAATATGCGTATCTTTTCAAAAACATTATTTTACATTATTACACTTGTTAGGTCAATTAACACAAGAAGGTAATCTTAAAGAACAGGATTATCGATTCACTTTTCATGCACACCATTTTCATTAGTACCTTTGTTCACCAATTAGGTGTTTTGATGTGATTTATTTTATTAAAGAAGGATGGCGAAAGCTGACCCAAAATCAACGAAGAGCCGTTCATGGACTTTGCTAGTATAATTGTACGTTTTAGTTTTTTTGTAGTTATTAACATATTTTGTATATTTTTAGAAGTCCGGAATAAATAAATTGCAAAACAATATATTTTAGAACAGACGCAAGAACACAACGCAATTTATGAAGTTTGACCATAGATTAGTTAACATTCTTGTACGTATACGTCTCATTTCAAGCGTGATGGACTGTTTACCTACCTAAAGAATTGGTTATTTTATAGTACACACAGAAAATACTAAAGGTGTAAAGTAACTAATCAAATAATCAATTAAACAATAATGACTTAAAGTAAAAAATAAAACACAATGTGACAAAATGTATAGACAATATTTAAATGAGAGATACGAAAGTTAGCAAATGAACGTTTTGACAAGAAACCTCTTGACAATGTCAGTTTGAGATTGAGAACTTTAGAGGATGGAAAAAAAAATAAAAGAAAGGAGCTGCCTTAACTACAGAATCAACGTGCATATAACCAAAATTTGAAAGTTACAAGTGGCAGATTTCTTTAGTGTACATCATAATCAAAGTCAAAGTCAAAGTCAAAGATTATTTATTCCATAGGTAAAATAAATTTACACTTGAAAACGTCACATTTAAGCTACTGCTCGTTCAGTACGCTGACCTCCATGAGAAGAACGAGCAAGAAACTCTAGGGATTGCTCTTTTCAAATAAACTTAAATGCTATGGAATACACTTGGAATCAAATTTGTGTGGATTCTGGAGCCATGTCGTCTTTCCATACATCTTTATCTAACACGTAGTCTTCAATTTTGTAATATGATTTTACGATCAAAATATTTTTAATGTAGTTTTTAAACTTAGGAAATGATAACCTTAATATATGCTCCGGAATCTTATTGTAAAAACGTATACAGTTCCCCATAAAAGAGTTGTTTACCTTGGTTAAACGAAATCGTGGTACCATGAGTTTGGACTTAGCTCTAAGGTTAATATTATGGATATCTTCTTTCTTATTGAAATTATGTGTATTTTTACGGGCATATAAAATATTTGAGTAAATGTACTGTGATGCCACAGTCCTGATACCAGTCTCCTTAAACTTTTCTCTGAGAGATACCCGAGAGCCTAGACGGTACACAGAACGAATCGCTCGTTTTTGCAATTCAAATATGGTTTGAATATCTGCCGCTTTACCCCACATGAGAATCCCGTAGGACCTTATACTATGGAAGTAACTAAAGTAAACTAGTCTAGCAGTACTAACATCGGTAAGCTTACGTATTCTGCGGACTGCGTATGCAGCGGAGCTTAATCTGCTGGCCAGAAATATACGATATATGTGGAAACCACTGAAGTTTACTATCTAAGGTCACTCCCAAGAAGACTGCTTTATTAGGTCTTTTTTTATAAGGTTTTTTTTATAAGGTCTAATTTTTCTCCGTTTATTTCTATGCTTGGACTAGTCGATTTTACGTTAGGTAATTCAAATTTAACACATTTTGTCTTCTTGGCATTAAGCAATAAATTGTTAGCATTAAACCAATAAACTACCTTAGAGAGGGTATCATTCATACGGTCATAGTCAATGTCATGTCTGTCTGTTTTAAAAATCAAGGATGTGTCATCAGCAAACAACACTATTTCGCAATGGTCCTTAACAAAGAATGGCAGATCATTAATATAAATCAGAAATAAGAAAGGTCCAAGTATTGAGCCCTGCGGAACACCCATTTTTACTGGAGAACCCAAAGAAGTCACTCCATTTATGTCTACTTTCTGAATTCTACCGTTGAGATATGACGAGACAAGTTTCGACGCCTTGCCATTTACACCGTAATGTTCCAGCTTCCTAATAAGAGTATTATGATCAACGCAATCAAATGCCTTTGAGAGGTCACAGAAAACACCAATAGCGTTCTGGGACCTTTCCCAAGCATCAAAGATGTGTTTTAGTAACGCTACCCCCGCATCGCTAGTCGATCTACCACTAGTAAACCCGTATTGTTCACTATGAAAAATATGATTCCTACCGAAATAGGACAGTAATTGAGTTAGCATAACCTTTTCGAATATTTTACTTAAAGACTAATCTATCGATAAGTCATTATCGACATGCAAATGTATGGCTTGAATGTTGAAACTGTTTTTCTGTGTTTTTTTGTTTCTTTACTTTACTGTAACCAAAGTATGCCTAAACAAACACAAGTCTAATAATTTAATCTCGAGTGGTAAATTATTATAAATGTTAACACGCATTTCCAAACTTTAAAAAATATATATTTTCAAGATTACAACTGGTAATTTATTTAGTAAAAGTCACCAAACTGCTGTGCAGTTTGTTGGCGACATGCGCATTCTTACTTAATAAATAAATAACGCACACTCAACATAGCCCCGCACTAGAGAAACCCTGTGTCGCGGGTGCCATGGACACACACATAGACAACCACAAATTACACCCAAACTCACGAAAGAAATAATTGTAGGCCATACAACTATTTCTCCCGGCCCGGGAATCGAACCTGGGACTTCTGCGTGGCACTCCAGCATGGTAACCGTTTGGCCACGGAGACAGTTAATTATACCTACTTTACTGGTATATAACTTTACATAGTATTAATTGTACTTAATAAATGAAATATAAAAATTACTTTAAGAGGTACGCCTTTAACCTACATTTTAGTACATATTTACGTAACGTCTTTTAACTAACTGTCAAGTACAAGTCTATTCAGGTTTCTGCGGATTCTAGTATTCATGTTACTAGCTTTCTTAAACAAATCAATCTATCAAGCAATTTTAACTAGTAACTTATTTAGTAATAGTCACCAAACTGTTGTGCAATATGTTGGCGACATGCGCACTCTACTTATTGTTTTTTTTAACGCACACACTCAACATTGCTCTACCTCTACCTACTTAAAAGAAATGAACAAACATACACTCAAAAATATAGCCCACCTTCTGACGCAGTCGGGTAAAAAATACTAAAATTATTCATGACGGAGTAAAATAATTTATTTAAATAATTTCGGAGTGACAAATTTCCAATATTTTTTATCATTAACAACAATCATCAAAATATACAAACAAACAGGCAATCCAAAGTAACAAAAGCAAAATTTGGCAAGATTTATAAATAAACTACTTAAATAAGTCTAATCACATGAAATATTTGGGCTATTGTGTGATTTATAGAAAAAAAATAACACATGCCTGTGCAATGTAACATTCGATTGATTTGCATTTTTTCTAAAGCCACATCGCTTAAAGCTGCAGCGTCGCATTTTTATTAATACCTAATTATCTCACTGTCAATATTTTTGTCCAATTTAATTATAACACATGCGAATAATTCAATAGTACATTTGAAAAAACATTTGTTTTAACATTTGATGTACTTCCCTTTGACAACGGTATCATGTACCTCATGTACTGCGAAATGTGCGAAATGGACACGGTTGGCATTTAAGATGACGTTACGTATTTTTGATTCCCGTTTTTGACACAGACCAATGTAATGCTATCTCTTTTGGCTTAAGACGGCACGTAATAGTTAAACATAGACAATAACATGTTTATGTTTTCGAAATGCATCATATACATATAACGTCTGATTTATATATGTCAACGTAACATGTCCTTTAGTTTTCGTAGTCTAAGTTGAGAACACTGCGACCGTTGTGGCAGATTTCTGCCATTTGGGCAGATTTAATTTTTATTCATTTTCATTGCGACCGAAGATGTTAACGTGTTGTATTAAATGTGCAATATTCATCAAGTTCTTTATTATTTTTAGAAACAAAATGAAAACTTGTTTTCTGCTACTACGAACAAACATCTGACCAGGACAATGTTATAAACATAACCTATATCAAGTTTATAACCCCAGTTTCCACAGGCTGTACTCAATTAGCTTTTTTGGTGCTTTGATAATGAATCACAAATATTGATAGGTCTCTTTAATCACGTCGTCAAAAACACTGGGTCACAAACTACACGGCATGTCGCCATCCTTCTTTAGACAAAGGTACAACTTGCAAAGTGCTAAGTATTTTAATAAAGTTTTCCTTAAGATACAGTCATTTATATCGCTAGGTAGGATCCCTATGAATGTAAGGAATGAACCAACATAGCTTGTTTTTGCAACAAACTAAAAGAAGTTTGTATATTAAATGTTTGGCACGATAAGTTTTATTGATTTTTAGCAATGCATTAAAAAATAATTGAATGAACATAGATATTTTAATAAAGGATGCCATTTTAGAACTCGTGGATGGATGTCTGTGTCTGGGGCTGCTCCTCATGTAGAGCTATGCTGCAAAAAGGTTGGTGATGGACATCCATTGAGACTGTGGAGAGCCACAACTGACATCGAAGCCCCGCCGCAAGAAGTGATGCAAAGGTTCGACTTTGACTTTTTACCTATATTGAAATCTTAGGACACGGATTATATAAATGAATTTACATCGAACGAATAATATCTATTTCAGGATTCTGCGCGAACGGCACATTTGGGACGACTCATTGGTGAAGTGTCGTATCGCTGAACGACTTGGCACTAACGCTGAAGTGTTTCAGTACCTTTGCTCTACCAGCATTAATTTGCCACCTCGAGATTATTGTGTATTACGGTAAGCCCCCACCCTTTCCTTGCCCTACTCCCGTATGGTGACTATGGTAAGCGGTTCAACTTACACATTGCATATTATTTTGGCGAAGAATTATATTGAGTTGCAAAGCTTTGAACAGTATAAGCAGCTGCGATGCTATGTTCGGATTTTTTTATGTAAAGGCTACAGCATTAAATATTTAATTATAAACTTTTGCACGATTACTTACATAGATAAAAACTTGAAAGTAAATGTAATTACAGCTCATGGCAACAAGGAGGCGCCGCCGGCGGTGGCGGGTGGTGTGCCATTGCCGAGACCTCTGTAGCTCATGGCTCTGTGCCACAAGAGGGCTCTCGGGGAGTCGTGTTGGCTTCTCGATACTTGGCCCAACCGGCTGGCAAGGGACGCAGCCGACTTGTACATTTGGCTCGAGTTGACACCATGTAAGTGCATATAACGAATTAAATCAATTCTACAATTAGTTAATGAAACACTGTTTTTCGGGATTTAAATCGCGTATATTTGTTTTTTCAAAGGTTTGTTTGAAAAAACAAATATACGCGATTTAAATCCAGAAAAACAGTTTCATTTCCTATGTGTAACAATTGCGAAAACCTAAGAACTCGATATCTACAATTACTTTTTTTTTTTGTAATATCAAGCGACGTGACGAACAAGTCGTGCGCCTGATGGTAAGTGTCACGCCCGTCCATTACAGTTGCAGTGCCACTCAGAGCATTAAATCGCAAAGATCTGAGGGGCACTGTCACAGCGCTCGTCACCCAGAGACATCAGTTGACAAGTCCCATGTGTCTGTCATTTCACCTTTCCCTTTCACCTTTGCACCTGACCCTTCAAAACCGGAACACAGAAATGCTGACATAACTGCTTGGCGGCAGAAATGGGTAAGGTGGCAGTACCTGGACGAACTCTTTCACAAGGAGCCCTACTACTACTGCTACTATTGAATTTCAGTTTGTTTAGATGTTCTTATTAATTTTCCGCTGTGGTAGGCTAATGGTTTCACCTACCGCGTCTCAAGAAGAGGGGCGTAGGTTTGAATCCAAGCTTGCACTCCGGGTTTTTCGAATTTTATGTGCGAAGTTTTATTTGAAATATACCATGAGCTTCTCGATGAAGGAAGATATCGTAAGGAAACTGATATGTAGATCTACAAAGCAATTTAAGATGTGTGTGAAGTTCCCAATCCGCGTCGGGCCTGCATCAGAACAACAGCCCAAGCGCTCCCATTGTGAGAGTAGGCCTTTGTTTAGAAATGGACCTATGTATAGCTAGCTTACACGCATCTACTGCTGGACTTAAGCCTGTTCTTGAGCATGCCAAATCTCCCGGTCCTGTGTCACCGTCGTCATCGTCGGTCCATCTTGCCGCATTGCGTCCTACACTATGTTGTCCTTAACGTAGACGCCACTCTAGAACAAATCCGCTCCATCGGGCTGACGACCGAGCAGACTGCAGACTATATAATTATAGGCCAACTATTATCATTATTTTTATTATTTTTCAGGGGACGAACACCGGAATGGTACAACAAATGCTACGGGCACATCTGCGCCCTGTATTTGGCTCGGATCCGCGCCTCTTTCAAGCACAACACGGAAGGCCCCGAGTCTAACGTATGATTCTCTGCATTCCACTTAACTTAGGTCCATATTGGATCTAACTTGAGTTTGACGTTTATTATTTACCGTTGGTCTTTAGATAGCCCTATACTAAAGGCTTCCTAGTACATTCGCGTGCAAATAATCATAAATCTATTCCAGGTCCTATCATATAGCCGTATAATGGAGGCTATGTACCTAACACAGTGTATAAATGATAATAACGATGATGACAATTAAAATGTCGCATCACCGGTATAGGACAGTAATGTGCGATATCTTCTGTAAGTAATTATATGTTGCATGCACGCGTTTGTAAATGTCTAGAATGATTATTTTCGATGATATTATTTCTTCTGTTGATATTATTATTTTCATGTGACCAAAATTATTATTATTTTAATTGCTCGATATTATTTCTAGTTTGTAAGTGTACATAAAAACTACTTTATATTACCAGATGTGGTAATAGTTAAAAAAATATGATGCATAATAATTATTAGGTAAACTAAATGTAAGTTAAATTTTTATTACCTACCTCCATTATTTTGAAGTTTAAATGTTAATTTTAATATTTTTAATTATCCTTTTTTAGGATTTACCAAAAATCTGACTGTATGTTTTTATAATTTGTATACAATTTAAATATTCCTATGTTATTTATGCAATAATTATAAAATAATTTAGATTCTTTTCATGGTGCATTATGGATGTAAATATGTATTATATTACTATAACTTGCTTAGAATTAAACTTAATTATTATATATTCAAATATATTCAAAGTAATCTCATATTTAAGAAAAAAAATGAGAATTAAACAATATATATTTTACCATTACCCATTATTACCCATGTAAAGTTATCGTTACATATCACTAGTCATATTATATAATATAGAATAAACATATATTCGAAATCATAATAATTGTACCTGTCCTGAGTTCAGGAACATTCTTAGTATTAAATTCATATTTAGAAAGAGTCTCGTATAGGTTCATTAGAATAATTAATACCAGCAGCATATACATGCAAGAAAAATAATAAATAATATATAATGTAAAATATTAAAATTCTTACTATGACTCAATGCAGTCACAATTCCCTGATTTGACAACGCACTTAAACGACCGAAATTCAGACCTCAGTCTGATATTTGAAATCTACATCGGATGTACCTACCAATTGTAATGAAAGACGGCTTTTAGGGCAATGAACGGTATTAAGAATTGCAATATTAATGAATGAACAAGTGCACATTGACATGACACACTAAAAATAAACGACCTCTGGTTGTTTATTCACGGATTTTAACAATACGGCTAGTAACTCAATCTAATAAAAAAAGACACAAGCAGAAGACATTATGATATTTACGGAAATTTGAACGAACTTAAAGAAATTTGAAAGTCGACTACATATTTGTATCTGTAAAAGTCTGATGAATAGGTTCGCTCGGTATTAGCAGGTTAGCTTTTGTTAAGGAGATAATAGGAAGTCGGAGGCATGGCTCGTTACTTATTAAAGAAACCGATTATGAAGAATCAAGCAAGACAGTTCTAGGTTAATATCGTATGGAATGGACAAGTTTTTCTTGCTCACGAATCTTGGAATCACTTTAAAGTAGTTTCAATTTATCAATTCATATTCTTGATGTTCGTTGTCACAGTATTTAATCACGTTTAATAAATTATCATGTTGTCTATTTGGAACTTAGTGTTGTACGTATTAGATATATAGACGGTCATTCTCTTGCAAAATACCAATTTTATCAATAGCTTTCAATATAATAATACACCTTTTGTCAGGATGGCTAATCTTGTGACCAATTTCGAAAAATAAACCCGTAAGTAAGTCCGCTTCAACACGTTCAAAATTAAATGAGAGATACGCAGTAAAATGTGTATATGAACTTTGTAAGACCTTGGGGTCATGGCTAGTGGTTGGATATTTGGATGCTTTTGTACCTAAACATCTCGTGAATAGTAATCGAAATAACGCACACACACACACACACACACACTCAACATAGCCCCGCACTAGGGAAACCCTGTGTCGCGGGTGCCATGGACACACACATAGACAATTACAAATTACACCCAAACTCACGAGAGAAGTAAATGTAGGCCGTACAATTATCCTGGCCCGGGAATCGAATCTCTGCGTGGGATTCCGGCATGGTAACCAGTCGGCCACGGAGGTTGTTATTTAGGCTGTCATGGAGGCGTCTTAAAATATATTTTATCTTTTTTTTCTTATCAAATAAAAATTGCGACTTTTATATTTTAAATACAAAATGCTCACTATAAACAAATTTCTGAAGACAACTGGATCTCAGTACTGAGAAATTACCTATTAAAACTACTAATTTTTTTCTTGATTTTTCACTTTCTATACCTATATGATTGATAAAAGATAATTAATTACAAAGAACATTTCAAAACGTTCATTTGCCTTAAATGTTATACTTAGTACATTTTTTTCGATTCAAAACCGCGTACCATGTTAGCGAGCAACCTAATGATGCGTAAATAAACATTCGATTAACCGACCATTATTGATGAAAGTAAATGCATAGATACAATATGAACGGATAAGGGAGTCACCACACTTAATGACGTGGAATCGACTTGAGCCGACCATAAAAAGAAAAAGACGTTGTGCGTTTCACCTGTATCGATTTACGTGGTCCGTGGTCGAACTGTCCAGTTAGATTCCGCGACGATAAGAGTAAACACCGTAAAGGTCAAGACAGTGTCAGAATCATGGCCAGTGGAGTCGGATAATTCTCAGGTTAATTTTCTCTATCTAATTTCGGTTGTCATTTCTATTAAGCGTTTAAGTATTCGATTCTATTATCATGAAATATTAAATAATATTTAAGGCCACTCGAACATAAAATAATACTTCATGATAATATTTTAAAATATTGAAATAATAAAAATGGTCATCGAAATTTGGTAGAGAAAACTAAACTGAAAATTATTCAAATCATCGTTTCCACTACCCCACATGAAATGACTTACAATATAACAACAATTATGCTAGCAATATGTTATGATTCTCTGGAATTTGATCTAAACGCACCTTCAAAGCTGTAAACTTGAATTGATCTTGTAGTTTGCACGCTCACCTACTTTGCTTCATTTTTTTTGTCGTCACATGAAAAGTCATCCTGTGTCTCTCTAATTATTTCCCAGATTAAACAAACATCTTCTTGACACGGTCAAATATTTTCTACAATCGGATTATTAATATTTGAATATTATTACATCGAATTAGTGTCAATAAAGTCATCTTTATGTTCTGAATAGCTTCCAAAGGGTTCACTGAAGACGAAAATAGAAATCTCTTAACGAAAACTTGATGGAATTTGCAATTTTTTTACCTCCGCATATGTTGCATCGCTTACCGACATTGCTCACGATACCCGATAGGAAGCTTGGATGAGGAAGAATTCAACAATTTCATTGTTAGATGCCCAAAAGACAGCCTATCCATCCTACAAGGTGTAATTTGGTCGGCCAACATAGAATGGGATCATTCTGGAAGGCCTATTCAGATATAAGCTAAATTCGCCACCACAGGGGGTAGTGAAAAATACCTCATGGTATACCGGGTGTTTATATGAAGTTCCGCGGCTAAAGCGAAACTGAAATACCGCACCATACCGCACGGGTCGGCAGTTATTTTTCGTTTGCTTTGCGAAATTAATTTCGCCAGATAGCGCAGTATACTCATTTGCGGTTATGACGGCGAAACAGTGAAATGTTAAATTTATTGAGATTACACGTTAGGCATGATTACGCACTGACGGCACAGAAGTGATTGTCTAGACGGACTAAAATCAAGAAAGTTTCGCAACGTATAGCGGTAGTGATATACGCTTAGGTGAACTGTAGGAACATCGCTTACATCTGAACAGATCTTTATTGAGTTATTATTCTGAAAACAAAAATATTAACGAGCTAAACCTTCAAGTGCCATTTGAATCTATATCGGTTAAAAATATTGTCCCCCTAAGGTAGCATCCTCGTAGCACTTAAAAACAAATCTGTTGCAATCGCATCCCTTATGTAAAACCAAAATTATAAAATGAATGTTAGTAGACAGATTTACCATGTCTTTTAAATAGTCTTTGATGTTGTATTACGAAGTTAAGTATCTACATACTAGACACATATTATCTACAATATCTGTTTAGTTTCCGGATGGAAATAGTTTAAAAAATGGATGTTATTAGCATTAATTTATTATTCTATACTAAGACGTATGCAGAATCAGAAAGAGGTTAGTGTCCACCAAACCGTTATTAATAATTGTTTGCGTGTGTTTTTACTCGACTTAGTTGGATTGTCATCATGTTATGATAATGGAAGTACACTTTCACGTTTATTTATCATTACAAATAAAGATAACTTAAATGGATATTGTAAATAGAAATATCTACCTTTTCGTTAATGAAAGAAAAAAACTTTCCATGAAACCGCTCACAGTCTACGAATTATGAAATGTTGAGATAGACGAAAGAACACAAATTGTTTTCTTTTAAATTTATTATAAATTTAAATATGCCTATTTTATTCCATTACAAAGTATAAACACCGTCTCTGCTAATCTCGACTAATTTGTACAGATTTTATTGTTATAAAAACTTATAAATTGCCTACAAACATGCAAAGGTAAAACTCCATAACGGCGGCTTAAAACTCTAAAAATTTTAATACAGTACATAAAACTAAAGTATTTTTTAATTAATGTCTAAAGTACACTCGATGCTCTAAGAAACCCGACCCCCTAATCGACCTTTTGATTCTGAGAGCCTTCTTACTTTTCAACATAAAAATTTAAAAATGAAAAAAATATTTTGGCTGAATTTTTGCATTTATATAATTTAATTAAGGACTATTTAATATAATTAGTTTAATTAAACTTGGCTTAAAAAGTTTTTTAAATCGTCATTCACTAATAAAAATCAATTTTACGGTTCACAGGTTAAATGCTAAGTTTGTTTATCTAAAACCTTTCTTCACACTGATTTGCTCTGAACCAAATAGAAGGTTAGAGAGTCAGGGTACCGACTGTACTTAAGTACTATTATTTAGAATCCAAGTTCAAGATTAATTGCACCGTTAACCTTGTTAACTCTAATGTTTCACATAACAGTACTCTCGCTAATCAGTTCGCTACGGCATTTAAAATTAACTGCTTATATAAGGTTAAAGTTACGCAGTGACATTCTATATTTGCAATATCAGAAAGAAAATAAAGTGTGAAATAAAACATTATAATCAAACAATTCAACAATGTTATCAACTTCCCTAGACCGCGAATAGCTTCGAACTTGCAATTTAAATAATAGCACGTAAAACTTTAATCTCAGAAACGAAATATAATTTCTAAGAGCAGTTACACACAGCTACTTTTAACAGCGTTGCAAACGCGATACAAACGCTACGCAAATGCGATGCAGTAACAATGCAGTCGCTAATCGTCTATATTTACACACATGCGCGATTTTAAGCACCGATGCAAGCG